ATATATATGAACAATGAACTGAACAATTATGAAATTTAGGTTTGTGTCACTTTGTGGTGTTGGTGATAAATTATATACACGGTGGTATTCTGGTGACAATTTTGTAGTTAATTACACATTTGTTTTATTTATTTCTACAAGGCTGCTGCATTTACTTCAGTTGGAGTTGGACCGTGGAGTGATCTACTTTATGTTTTCACACTTACTAGTAGTGAGTTGATATTGTTGTTTATTAATAATAAGCTAAAAAAGAATCAGCTGTTATATAATTAGTGTACTCAAAATATTTTTGCAATAATATCGCAACAATTTTCAAGTAATTCACTGGAATTGTTCACTAAACAGTTGCAATTATTGTTTTATTAATTAATTATAACAAATCTGAGTATAGTTTTATATTTAAATGTTTACTTTCATAATACATTTTAACTGCATTGAAGTTTATATATAAGTCAGTCTGACTGTTAGAGGACACTCCTACTAAGGGAGTTCCCCGTCGGGAACATCGGGCCCCCGTCGGGCAAATCCGGGCGCTACCCCTGGTATACGATAAAATGTACAGCGCTCTAATAAACAAAAGTTTAATTTGTAAATATTCTGTTTCTGTTTTTTTAAGTTTAAAAGGAAAAATAATTTTGGGTTGGATTTGATTTAATTTATTTTCTATTTAAAGGTAATATTGCATCATCCATATCTGTTAACCTGATAATAGTATGCTGTGTTGTAATCCTGGTGATTTTCCTAGCATTCAGCTTTTGCAGTTGGTTTGTTGTATTCATTTTAGAAATATTGCCCTTTATAGTTCTTTTATTTTAGTTTATTTCTTTCAATAATATTTAATCCTGTATAAAAGCTTATTAATACGCTTATTATTTTCAACATGTAGCACCTATCAAGTGTAAGGAAATATTACTTTACTTATGAGATGCCACCAAAGGTTGGCCAGGACTAGCGACATCAGCAAGTCCTGTAAGTGAAGCACGTGCAAATTGAGTATTTTTGCACCTACAGTAATTAAATACAATGGTTATAAATGTTGTACATGTAAAACATGAACAATTTGAGCTGCTCTTCCTGTACGGAACAGAAAACGAGCTATCTTTGAAAAGGAACAAAAAAAAAAAAAGAAAACTGACCGTTATTGCTCTATGCCGAGGTAATTAATATTTCGGTTATAAGTCAGCACTATTGTTCCAGTGTATTGAAATGAGAACAGTTTTCAGTATTGAACCTAGAACTGTATAAAATGATAATGCGACGATATAATTAAGCATCTTCTGCTTATTATTATTATTATTATTATTATTATTATTATTATTATTAACAGCATGTATACTACTATCTGACTCCATTGTTTGCATGATAGTGAAAATGTTACCTATCGGAGTCTTCGTTTGTCTGAGTCCGAGTGACTCTTCAACCATAGAACGGTCACAGAACCAGTAAGGTAATTCCCTGAATGATGCTGTTGTGACAACAGCGAAAGCTCGGACTTAAACAAACGAAGACTCTGAAAGATAACATTTTCACTTATTATTATTATTATTACTACTACTACTGCTGCTGCTGCAACGCCAATAAATTAACAATAAATGCCGATAAAACTAATTATAATCTTTCAGTCAAAAAATAAAGTTGTTACAACGTTTGGCTCCATTAGGATTGGTACAAGCTTAATTTCTGAATGTAAATCTGTTTATTTTGTTGGCGTTAAACTCGATAAATACCTTAGTTTCAAAGAACATATATCTGATTTAAACAATAAAATTAAAAAGAGAGCTGTTTTTTTATTTAAGTTACGGCACTGTGTCCCTGAGGAAACATTGGTTATGCTTTACAATTCTTTTATTTTACCCAACTTGATTTTTGGTATTGAGGTATGGGGCAGCACCTACGAATCGTATTTAAAACATTTATTACTCACTCAAAAAATGTGTGCCAGATGTATTACTTTTTCTAAATTTAGGGCTCATTCTGTACCTTTATTTAAAAAACTTTTTAGACGTATTTAAGCTTCATAAATTATATATTTTTAATTTTATATCAGACTTATTTAATAACAGATTACGCATAGTTTATCTGATTATTTTGAAAATATTTGTCATAGTTATGCAACAAGGTTTAATTACGAATATAATTTAGCCATATCAAAATGCCGAACTAATTTAGGTAAATTTAGAATTTCTTATATGGGTGCTAAACTCTGGAATACAATACCTGTTAAGTTAAGAGAGACTACCTCGAGGAATGTATTTGTTTCAAAACTGAAAAAAATTACTTTATTCCGAGTATGAAGATTGATGCCTATTTATTTATTTATTTTCATTATTTTATTTATATATTAATTTTATTCTATCTTATTTATTGGGGCTGAGGGAGATAGTTAAGAAAGGGGCCAAGCTCGATTAGACTTGTCTATTTCTTCCTATTGAATACCATTTGTTTGTTTTTTGCGTATACAATAAAGAAAGAAAGACTACTGATTTAATGTGCGTTTTGCCGTTTTGAATTATCGGAAAGCATATCGCAATAATGGATTTTAGAACTGTTGATAGCTCTTTTATACACTTTTTAACCATTCATGCACACAAAAGGACCCTTTATCTGCTGGGGGGCTTAATTTTTTTATATGTAAACTCATCGTACTGGACATTGTTTTGGAGGCATGTAACTTGTACTTGTTTGGGTTCTCTCGCATGTTTGCATATTTAGTAGGTCAATAGAAATATAGCTTTATGCATGAAATAGTTGTAGTTGCTTGTAACCACCATGGGAAGCATAATTTTGTCTAAAATGGCCAAAGTGATTGGGAGCAGGTCAATCGTTTTTTGCTTGCCAATATCCTTTATTACAGGTGAATTATTATTGTTATTACTTCTACTGTTTGCATTACAGTAGAATTACCAATCATTTTTCCCATCCTGTATTCCAATAGCCTCTTAATAAAAAAAAATATTTTGCATATTGCAGAGTTTAAAAAAATGAAATGTGCCTTGTTGTGCTATTGCTTTACCGAGAATGTTTAATGTTTATATTTGTAGAAAATGTGGAGGGTGTTTATGTATTATATAGCAAACAAAAGTAAAAACAATTAGACCTACAGTTTAACCAAGGAGTTGTTAATAACGTAGTATATTATGGAGGCCTATTATAAACATTTTATGACATTTTCTTTATATTATGTTTTTATTTTTTTTAATATTTTGATAATTTAGTTTCCATTATTATCGAAAGAACAAGACGAAGCATGAGCAGTCCACTATGATAAACATGGTTAATTACGATGATTTTGGTGGTGAGGATGGTGGCGTTGATACTTTAACGCCACCTAAGGTGGAATCACAGTGTGATGATAGAGCGCCACCTAAGTTGGAATCACAGTGTGATGATACAGCGCCACCTAAGTTGGATTCATCTTTGGAAGAGTCACGCACATAAATGCCATTAGAGGAAGCAGTATATATGTCAGTTCCCAGGTTAGCTAATTTCAATCTATACAGGTTATTGTGTCAACCAAAGAATAAAGAATTTGAGAGGTCCGACCGCCCTCGTTTTGTATGCACGCAATAAATCAACCAATAAAAACATTACTACCACGAAACATGGGGCGCCATATTAGAATTTGAATAAAGCTCGATTGAACTCGTCTTTTAAGGACACGGCGCCCCTTCGTAACAGTACTTTTTGAAATAGGATTGCGTTCCAACGAAACTAGTACAGTCGGACGTCTTGTAGTTCTATACGCTTTGGTCCAACCGTGGACAAACCACGAGTTGAATATGGTATTCCACTTTAGCATGGTTACCTATTCAAAAGCATAATCACATAAAAAATTTAAAAAAATTAAATAAAATTTAAAAAAAACATAACTAACCCTCTTAAATGCATAAAAAGGGAAGTGTTTAGGTTAAAAGTTTAAAAATCGTGTTTTGTTTTTTGACAATTTAGGTTATGTTACTCTCACCTCAGAGCAACAAGATGGGCATGAAGTCTTATGAAGATCATGGTGAATTACACCCTTGTTGGTAGAATAACACAGTAATTAATTTTGCTTTTTATTTTTCTATTCACTGATTTTTGTATTCTTGTTTTTTCTGTTTTAATTTTTTTATAGGAAAGAAAATAGTAAAAACATAAAGAAGCATTGTTAACTGCTTTGGGCCGTGCTCAGCTTAAATCGCTATATAAATTTATTATTGTTATTTCATTATCACATAGTGATATTGGACTGCAATTTGTTGCATAAACTTTCACAGTTATTTTTAATGTATATTTTCTTTATTCTTTATCTGTTTATCTCAAATATGTGTATAGTTTATGTGTTACACTTGTTGGAATTTCTTTTTACCTATTTAGTTACTAAGGGTTTGTTATTCGTTTTTTTTTTAAATTGGTTTTGTATTTAACAATTAAATCATAAAAATATAGATGTGTATAAGAGACAGTAATAATTGAATGCTTCATTTAATTCAAGATGAATTGTGATAAAAATTGTATTTATCTAGTCTTATATATTTTAAGTACAAGTGAACTTAAGTCATTATGATTAAGTCATAAGAATCTCTCGGAAAATGATCTTCCGCAAATTTGTAATACTGTATTTTGCATGCTTTCACTGCTTTAATATATCAATGTCTCACGGAAGTCAGTTGATCTTGGTAGGCCCACTTCATATCCATATACAGCGAAAATCATGCTTAAGCTCAAAGAATGCAAATTTTAATAGGACGTCATTACGGCAGCCATTTAAAGTTATTCGATTTCATTAGGTCAAGTTCATTTAGCATCCTAACGAAAATGACCACAATGTAAAACCTATGTTAATTGTGAATTCTTACGTCAATTTTGTTTACTGTACATAGCGAAAATTACCGTTGCACCATTTGTGGCATGTCAGGTGAATATTGTCATAAAGAGGTAATTAGAGGTCATTGCATGTCCAACGATCATATGTTTTTTTTTCCAGGACAACAATGAAAAACATTTCTGAAAATGATTGCGTCTTCCTGGTTAAGGATGTTAATATAACATAAAAATGCTGGGTCAAATGCTGTATTCTTTCCAGGGACGTATCCATGGGCCGCGACTTTCCTCCCCTTTGTATAGAGTTAGTATTTCAAAGCTTGTTCTTGGTAGCCAATACAAATTCTTTCATGAGATCACTCAAAATTAGTATCTAAAATAAATGTGCATCAGCACACCGTATACATACAATACCAGGCCTTATAAGTAGCCAGTGGCGTCGAGAGTCAGTAAGGGCCCCGGGGCAACACCTCACATCCCCCTCCCCCTTCACTTGGGACCCCCACCCGGCCGCTCCCCAAATTAAGTCTCCTCCTAGACCCTATTTGTCCAAACCCACATACATGAATATGATTCCATGTGATTATTTTTTTGCAATGTAGATGTATCAGAATAATCTGATGAATAAACGATAATAATCGTTCCAAACATCTGGTTTGGAACGGGAGAACATTGGGTAAACTATTCCCCTGGGGGATTATTCATCTAGTAATAAAAGTGCAGAAAGACTGAGAAAGACGCCCGTAAAACCATAATGTAGAGTTTGTTCTGACAACAAAAGTTTTCATCCTGGCTTGGGCTCGGGGCCCTATGGAGATTTTGTTCTTACCCCGAAAATGTTTCATCTTGTTCCGGGCCACCCCAGTAGAACGGGCCCCGGAACAGCGATCCCCGACCCCCCTCTCGACGCCACTGTAAGTAGCCTATAACACATAGGCCTAGCGTGTTTTTTTTTTACGGAAATCACAAATAGAATATCTTTTGTTATCAAAGTTCTATAGTATATCAAAGTTCTGTTGATTATGACCGTGTGACTATTGGGGCAGAAACAAACATTTATGGAGATAAGCTGTATTTACCACCTCATTTACAGCAATAAAAAACCCAAAGTTCAACCCAGAGGGTGCAGAGACCAGGAGCCAAGGGGTGTCAGCATAGCTGGAAAGTTAACCAATTTCTGTGTATATAGTAATGTTCTATGTGTCTGTCTATGTAGGAGAATGGGCATCTGCCGGTCCCATTGTGGTGGGTGTGGTCAGGAGGGGCATAAAAATAGCCCCAAAAATTGAGCTAGATCAACTTGTGAATTAACCCAATGAAACCTATCAGAATATATTCGGAATAGTTCAAGATAACATGAATGGTCAATGCCAGACATTTCCAGTGGTGGGGGTGCGTGCCAGACGCAAAAATCCGGTACCCCAAAATTAAGCTAGATCAGCTTGTGAATTAACCCGATGAAACCTACTGGAAAATGTTGGGCATAGTACCAGGTATCAGGAATGGTCACCGCCAGACATTTTTAATGGTGGGGTATACCTGCCAGACACCCCCAAATACCCCGCCCAAAAAATTGACCTAGATCAGCTTGTGAGTTAACCCGATATCACCTACTAGAAAATGTTCGGCATAGTACCAGGTATCAGAAATGGCCACTGCAAGACATTTTTAATGGTGGGGTGTACCTGCCAGACACCCCCTTATAGCCCGCCCCCGAAAATTGACCTAGATCAGCTTGTGAGTTAACACGATAAAACCTACTGGAAAATGTTCGGCATAGTACCAGGTATCATGAATGGCCACTGCCAGACATTTTTAGTGGTGGGATGTACCCGCTAGACACCCCCTTATACCCTGACACCCCCCCCC